GACAGTGATGAGTTACGATGAAAATAAAACAAGGTCAAGACAGATTGGGTTGCAATGCAGGACGTACTGTGGATGCAAAAGCCCTGAAAGAAAAGAACTTGGTTTCTTGTAAGAAGAATTAGAGGCAAGTGTGGCTGGAAGGAAATCGGGGGAAGCCTGGTGAGGTCTTGGTAATGGGATCTTTAAGCAAGGAATGATGATCCTGGAGAGCACATACTAGGAGAGGAGTAAGAGGGAACGCAGGGAGACCAGCAGGGAGTAGTCACAGTCATCCAGGTGAGGAAGGAGGATGGCGTGATTTGGCAGTGGAAACAGTGGGAAATAAAATTGCTAGAGAAAAAGAATGAAGATAGCAGCTGACTATGGCAATCTTTGATCTACCCACATAGCTCCTGGGAGGGCCAAGTGGTGTTAAAGGGGGTCTATTTCCCACACATTGAGAGGTTCAGTCCAGCCCACTATAGATTGTGCTGTATGTTCCTGTATTAGTTTCTTCCTAAGGCTGCTGTAACATGTTACCACAAATTTGGTGGCTGGACGCAAGAAATTTTATTGTCTCATAGTTCTGGAGGCCAGAAGTCCAAAATCAGTCTAACTGGTGTCTGCAGTGTCATGTCCCCTCAGGAGGCTCTGGGAGAATCTGTCCCCTGCCTCCTCTAGCTCTGGTGGTTACAGCACTTCAGTCTCTGCCTCTGTGGTCACAGTGATTTCTCCTCTCTGTCTGGTGACATCTTTCTTGTGTGTGCGTCTGTGACTATATTTAGGGCCCACCCAGTTTATCCAGGACAATCTCTCTACCTCAAGATCCTTGATCACATTGTTCGCCATATAAAATAACATTCACTTTTGCCATCGAAGAGAGTATTTCCAGCTTCCAGGGATTAGGACATGGATAACTTCAAGGGGGGGCAACTTTCAGGTCTGCAGTGTTAGAAATCACTTTGACTGTAGTGAGGAAGATGTGTTTGTTTAGCGAATAAGGTGGAAAGTACCACTGTGGAATAAGAAAATGCCACCTAGTAAATTGATTAGAGAAAGAAATGCCACAAAAATAAAGAAAAGAAGATTGAATTTTTGTAAATGGAGTTCTCAAGAATTCTAGGAAAGATAGGCCAAGGGATAAAAAAGTTCAGAAAAAGAGCTTCACAGACTTTAGACAAATCCATTCTAGATATAGAAGTCAATGCTTATGAAGACTGCTATATTTGCATAGTCTAAAGCGGGCATTCGAATGCAAGGTGTGTCCCATGGGCCTTGCCAGTAGTGCCGGGCATGGGCCTTTCAGCTGTGGTGAGGCAGAGTAGGGAGGGACAGCAAGAAGGCAGTGGACAATGGAAGGAGAATGCAGAACCAGACCAACCCACAGAGGTAGAGGAAGACAACAAGAGCAGGTGCATGCAAGCGGCTGGGGTGGGGAGGGCCCAGGAGGAAGCAGGAGTGTCACTTCAGGCCAGCAGAGACCAGCACTGGGACTGGAAGCATGGGTATTTAGAGCTGCTGGCATCAGGAGAGGATCAGAGAGGCTCTAGATGGGAGTTTAGGGTAACTCAGTTACCAATACCGGGCCCAAGATAAAGCCAGGCAAGCAACCAGGGAGACTCATGCCAAATTCTAGAGAGCTTACTTAAAACTTAAGTACTACTTCCTGGAGTCCAGAACCTCAAGGTAGACTTACAAGAAGGGAGTCTGGCAACTCTGTGTAACTCTGATGGAAAAGGGCAAGACTGACGCTCCTGTGCTAGAATCTATAATACAGCCCAAGACATAGTGCAGTCATTACTGACAATAGGAAAGAACACAACTTAGTACGCAGTACAGCTAAACCCATGGGATAGGTGTTTATTTATAACAACAGAATGTGTTAAGAACCATCAGCGGTTAAGAGAGTAATAAGAACAAACAAGTGTAGCTTGAAAGGCAGTTCAGTATGGTGACTCTGGAGCCAGACTCCTTGGTTCAAATGCTGGTGAATACACAGCAATATCTCGTTTAGCAAATTATAATTAATCTGTGTATAGACACTAGAATAATATCTGGGGAACTGGAACACACCCAGATCCTGGCCCTGAATCTAACTTTCTACACTGCTTTGGGTAAACAGCTCAAACCTTTAAAGCCTCGGGTTGCTGATTTCTAAAATTGAGGATTGAGGTACAAGGTTACTTAAACATAAACTTTATTTTTTTTAGAAGAATTTTTTCCTTTATTTGAGAGACAGCTTGAGAGCGAGGGCACACTAATTAGGCAGGGGGGAAGAAGCCGGGGGAGAAGCAGACTCCCTGCTGAGCAGGGAGCCTGACATGGAACTTGATTTCAGGACCCTGGGATCATGGCCTGAGCCGAAGGCAGAACCTTAAATGACTGACCCACCTAGGTGACCCTTAAATGTACACTTTAAAGCTTATGTGCTTTCTGGTAATCTTTTGAATCCTCATGCTCTTCAAAGGGAGACAGGCTTTTCCCCTGCTGCACAGTTGGAAAAACTGAGGATTGTTGTGGCATCTTAGTTCACATAATAATCCTGACATAATTTTGGAGATGAGGAAATGGAAGTCTAACAAGCGTGAATAACGTGTTCACAATCACACAGCTGAATTAGTGGTAAGGCTGGGATTCGATTTTAGTTCTGACAGTTCTAAAGCTGTGTATCTTCTCCTTCTATCTCTATTATTTTGTCACTAGATTTGATATCTGTGCCCGGGAGGCGAGGATCACAAGCGCCTGGTACCTTCATTATTTACCTACTCTGCTACTTCCGAGGCAATACTCTGAGCAGTCCCTAGTCAGTTTCCTCCTACTGGAGCTCTCCCCTTCCTTGTTATTCAGGGTGTTGTCAGCCCATATGGTTTAACTCCAGCGCTTACTCCTGTTAAATGTCTCCTGCATGTCTGTGTTCTAGCAGTAGTTCCTGACTTTGACCTGAAATAAAATTCTTATGTGTTTGCTCATTTCATCTATGTTACAATGACCAAAATTAGATATGCATGAAGTCAGTGCTAAAATGGAAATAAACAACAAAGGATGAAACAGATATTGGGAATATCTTCTCCCATTCCGTGGGAGAATGAATTCTTTGTTTTGTTGACTGTTTCCTTTGCTGTGCAGAAGCTTTTTATCTTGATGAAGTCCCAAAAGTTCATTTTCGCTTTTGTTTCCTTTGCCTTTGGAGACATGTCTTGAAAGAAGCTGCTGTGGCCGATATCAAAGAGGTTACTTGCCCATGTTCTCCTCTAGGATTTTAATAGATTCCTGCATCATCCAAGATCATAAAGAACTCCTCAAACTCAACACTCAAAAAACAGATAATCATGTCAAAAAATGGGCAGAAGACATGAACAGACACTTCTCCAAAGAAGACATACAAATGGCTAAGAGACACTTAGAAAAATGTTCATTATCATTAGCCATCAGGGAGATTCAAATCAAAACCACACTGAGATACCAACTTAACAGCAGTTAGAATGGCCAAAATTAACAAGACAAGAAACAAGTGTTGGAGAAGATGTGGAGAAAGTGGAACCCTCTTACGCTGATGGTGGGAATGCAAGTTGGTGCAGCCACTTTGGAAAACAGTGTGGAGATTCCTTAAGAAATTAAAAATAGAGCTACTCTATGACCCTGCAATTGCACTACTGGGTATTTACCTCAAAGATACAGAGGTAGTGAAAAGAAGAGCCATATGTACCCCAATGTTCATAGCAGCAATGGCCACAATCGCCAAACTGTGGAAAGAGCCAAGATGCCCTTCAACAGACAAATGGATAAAGAGATATGGTCCATATATACAATGGAATATTATGCCTCCATCAGAAAGGATAAATACCCAACTTTTGTATCAACATGGACAGGACTGGAGATTATGCAGAGTGAAGTAAGTCAAACATAAAGAGTCAACTATCATATGGTTTCACTTACCTATGGAGCATAAGGAATAACAGGGAGGACATTAAGAGAAGGAAAGGAAAAGTGAATTGGAGGAAATCAGAGGAGGAGATGAACCATGAGAGACAGGACTCTGAGAAACAAACTGAGGGTTTTGGAAGGGAGGGGAGTGCGGGGATGGGTGAGCCTGGTCGTGGGTATTAAGGAGGGCACGTATTGCATGGAGCACTGGGTGTGGTGCATAAACAATGAATCTTGGAATACTGAAAAAATAAAATTAAATTAAAAGAAAAAAAGAAACAGATACTGGGAAAGTAAAAACTCTGGTCATTATTTTCCATTTTCATTTATATTTAAGTCTTTATGAGACAAGGAAGATGACTTTCATGTCTAAACACTGGAATAACGTAAATCATATTAATACTATTACGATCACTATCATGTGCTGAAGGAGATTCCAAAGGAATATGAATGAAAAAATAGCATTTAAGATTTAGCTTTCAGAACACAGATACATCTCAGAGAAACTGTGACCCCAGCATACGTGTATTTGAGGTAATATTTGTATAATTAGTAACTCTCACGGCAATAGGAAACAATTGCTCTTTGCATATGTTGTACATTAGCTTTCTGAGTCAAGAATTTCACATTGTTGTATAATAATTTTAAGTTCAGTGTATGGCCGTTATGCAAATAGATGTAAACTTCATTACCAGATGAACTTTAAAAAGGTGTAACAACTACTAATTACGTATTAACACCAATGTCAACAAAAACAGTCCAACAAATGTAGAAGCAAAGTAACAAAAATATAATTATTAATATAGCTGTCCTCTAAGAATAAGCTATAGTGTCATCAGGCTTATAAAAAATGCTCAGGTCACTGTTTTTATTTTTTGTTCTTTATGATTCTTCCCTATACAAACAGTGGCTAATTCTGATCATTTGTCCTTATTTAATCTCCCTATGAACAAATTTGCTGATACTGAATACTATTTTCAGATATATCAGCATTATCATCATCTCATTAAATAGGTTATGATTATTACTGAAAACTCATCAAGGTTTCAAGGCTATTAATGGTTTCATCAACTTAAAAATCTAGTTTTGGAAGTAACTGGTTATAAATCTGTCCTTTTATTGGCAAACAGCAACCATACACCAGTGTTACTCTCAATATCTCAACAGGGTGCTTATCACGCTTACATTTTATGTGAGAGCTGGAATATAGACTTTACAACAGATCTGAAACATCATCAAATATTGTGACAATGCTGTTATGGTAACAGCCTATACATGGCATTAAAAAAATTATTGGCTGGTCGTAAATAGTACCTTCTTCCAAACTGAATTGTAAATGTTCTAGAGGCTAACATGATAACAAAGTGATCATCTTCACATGGCGTCGCACAATCTTCCCTCAAAGTTCACAGACCCTTCTTATTGTCTCTCCCCAAACAATTCTGCAGGGTGATTAAAAAAAAAAAAAAAGACTTAGGTAAGTAGTTACAACAAAGAGTGAAAAAGAGATTCGTAGATATTACAAGGAAAAAAATTATCTCTTCTGTGTATGGTTATTAATTATGAGAATAATCAAATGTGAAAACATGGATTGAGAAAGTCTCAAACTTAAAAAAACTACAAAGTTTGTGGGTTTTATTTGAAAAAAAAAAAAAAAAAGTCTAAAGGGGAAAAAATAACACTCTTGGTAAGTTCATTTATATCCCTGCCTTAATCCATTTTGCTTTTGTTTCACAGGTTATACCAGGAAAACAAAATTTCTCAAATTCCCTTCTTACAAACCCAATTAAGATTTTTGGCAAAGAAAGGATGAAGGGACACAAAACCCCCAGATGGGATGGACTCTTTGAATGTGTTTTTTTCTTCAGATATTTGCCAACTTCTCAAATTATACTCTTCTCTGATCACAAGATGATATCACTTAAAACTGGAGGAAAATGGGAAGAAATTAACCTTAAGAGATCATTTGCACTTAAGAAAGCAAAAGTCTACACTGAGGAAAAAAAAAAAAAACCTCATAAAATGGAGTTGGAATAGTTACTGCTTGCAGAAGAGAGGTTCACCAATCTCTTGCTCAGGCTGAGCAGTAATGGATTGATTCAGAGCAACTTTAACAATGTTAACATTAACCAACCAAATCAGAAGACAGGATTAGAGGAGGTATTTTGAATGATAAGGTACCACTTTCACATGTTTGTATATATCTTTTTGTTTTGTTTTGTTTCTTGTTTTTTGTTTTTTTTTTAAAGATTTTATTTATTTATTTGACAGAGAGAGATCACAAGTAGGCAGAGAGGCAGGCAGAGAGAGGGTGAAGCAGGCTCCCTGCTGAGCAGAGAGCCTGATGCGGGGCTCGATCCCAGGACCCTGAGATCATGACCTGAGCCGAAGGCAGAAGCTTAACCCACTGAGCCACCCAGGTGCCCCTGTTTGTATATATCTTGACATTTTAGGTAAAAATCACAGCTTTGCCTACTGAATGGGAGAAGATATTTGCAAATGATATAACTGACAAGGGGTTAATATATATTACATATTAATATACAATATTAATTATTTATTACATATTATAAAATATATAAAGAACTTATGCAACTCAACACCAAAAACCTCAAATAACTGGATTAAAAACAGGCAGATGACTGAATAGACATTTTTCCAAAGAAGACCTATGAATGGCCAATAGACACATGAAAAGATGCTTAACATCACACTGTGGGAGATGCAAATCAAAATCACAATGAGGTATATCACCTTACACCTATCAGAATGACTTGTATCAAAAACCCAAGAAATATTAATGTTGGCAAGGAAGAAAAGAAAAAAAAACCTCATGCACTGTTGGTAGGAATGTAAACTGGTGCAGCCATTGTGAAAACAGTATGGAGGTTCCTCAAAACATTAAAGATAGAATTACCATATGATTCAGTAATTCCGTTACTGTGTATTAACCCAAAGAATACAAAAACACTAATTTAAAAAGATATATGCAGGGCGCCTGGGTGGCTCAGTGCGTTAAAGCCTCTGCCTTCGGCCCAGGTCATGATCTCAGGGTCCTGGGATCAAGCCCCGCATTGGACTCTCCGCTCAGCAGGAAGCTTGCTTCCCCCTCTCTCTCTGCCTGCCTCTCTGCCTACTTGTGATCTCTGTCTGTCAAATAAAGGAATAAAATCTTTAAAAAAAAAAAAAAGATATATGCACTCCTCTGTTTACTGCAGCCTTATTTACAATAATCAAGATATGTAAACAACCCAAATGTTCATCCATAGACAAACAGATAAAGAAGATGTGGTGTGTGCATGTTTGTGTATCATGGAGTATTACTCAGCCATGAAAAAGAACGAAAGCTTGCCATTTGCAACAGCATGGATGGAGCTAGAGGCTATAATGCCGTGCAAAATAAGTCAGATATGGAAAAACAAATAGCATATAATTTCACTTGTATGTGGAATTTGAGAAACAAAACAAATGCACAAAATGAAAAAGAGACAAACAAAAATACAGACTCTTAAATACAGAGAACAAACCAGTGGTTACCAGAAGGGAAGTGGGTGGGGGATGGATGAAACAGGTGATGGGGATTAAGAGTACACTTGTGATGAGCACTGAGAAATGTACAAAATTGTTGAATCATTATATTGTATATGTGAGACTAATATAATAATGTATGTTAATTATACTTCAATTAAAAAAAGGGAAATAATCTTGCACTTACCCAAAATAAAAGTGGATATGAAGATTAAAAAAAAAAGTCATGGCTTTAATGGAGCTGTTATTCTGGATAACTCCCTTAAGTAAAGGGTGATTTTCCAAAATAAAATTTGAAAACTGGCAAGTGCTGCCTATAATCTTCAGTTAGTTTTGCTTTTCTTTTCTAGAAGAGAGCCAGGGCAAACAAGGAAAGACAAAGACTCTATCTTGAAGGGATTGTTTTCTAATATTTATTTAGTGCTTATAACAGGGAGGGGACCAAATGGGGAAATCCAGACAGATTTTAAAAATGCAAAGTGGGTTTCATTTATGGTAAGGAAACCAGCTTTCCCCTCTTTCACCTTTATTTCCTTAATATTTTAATGGTCACTTTACGGTTACTTTATTTAAAGTAAATCAATTATGCAAAACTGAGAAAGCTAAGTTTCCCAAGGAACTCTAAAGATAAAATTCAATTATTAAGGTTGGTTTGACAATAGAAGTAAAATTCATGAAAGGCAAGTTGATATAGCTTTTTACTATAGACGGTCTACAGCAATTTTTTTGCTTCTCAAGTAGACTTCAGAAGGTGAATATCAAAGTGTATGAGCCACTTTTAAGAAAACGGTAGTCATTTAATGACACTTAAATCTCAGAATCTTCTACAAGGTCTCATACTGGACAATGGAGGATGAGTAGGGGAAAAAATGTGTCCAATCAAGAAATAACTACTAGTATCTTATGGGGATATAGAGCTTTTCTTGTTTAAAAATATTTAAAGTGCCTTCCTGTATTGTAGACAATCTGGTTTAATGCTCAGAAGGTATTATAACTCTCATTTAAGTAATGAGGAAGCCAAGGTGCGGGGATGTCAAGTCATCTACCTGGCGCTTAGAGAACTGGCAAACTATGGAGCCAAGAGGTCTTCTGTTCTACAAGCAATTATTTTTTATGGGAAATTGGTTTTACAGGTGATGAAAGAGCAGACACATGGGGCAGTGTGGTAGGAGACCTCAGGGATTAGCACAGAACCACCACCACTCTTCCAGCTGGAGGGACAAGGGTGGAGACAGTGTCATGGACCCCAGAGCTAGGGCCACCAGGTGGAAAAAAAATCCCTGGCTTTGGACCTCCTGCCTTCAGTCTCCTCCTGTGCCTCCTGTTGCTGAACTTGCCCAGAGGAGAGAAAGTGGGCTTGGGAAATGTAGCTCTCTGAGACTGAGTGAGCAGAAGTAGGAAGACAATGGATCCAAGAACACAGTCTCATGACCGAACAGGCCAAAGAGCAGAGTTCTTAATGATGGGGAATCTGGAGAAAAATTTCCTGATTTTGAATCCAGCTCTGCACCTAGTTTCTAGTTCAGTGACTTTAGATAGATTATATAACACCTCTGTTATTGGGTCTTGTTTTCCTCACCCGCAAAATAGGGTAAGAAAATATTTTAATTTAGTGGGTTGTGATTAAAGTAAACAGAGTAACATATATGAAGCTATTAGCTAAGTGCTTGGTCCAGGGCACATCTTCAATAAATGTCTCCCCTTACATATTTTAAAAATAAAAGAAGAATGTAGATCAAGGCCTTAAATGCACTAGTGAACAAGGCCCAACTCTCAGTGTGGCACTTGGCATCTCTAGGATGGGTCATTTTTCAAAGAAATAGGTGTAACAACTCCTTTCTGGGGAAGGAATTACTCCGAAAATCTTTTTAACATTTGTTATCAAGAATGCATAAGCTCCAAACAGAGGTGGTTTTGGGAGGGGAAAGAAAAAGGGTTGAGGGAATCCCACTGTCATATATATTCTTCAGGGATTAAGAGATTAGCAGTTACCATAACGGGGACACTCAGCGATGGCCACTGGCCATAAGAAAATGAGGGAATATTCCTGCTTCTCTTTTCTCCTTTCAGGGATCTAAATGTTTCTGACCTCTTGGCAAAGTCCACTGGTGTGGATACTCATCCTGTTGAGTACAAGCTGACCTCACAAATGGGAGAGAAAAAGTTCTATTTCTAGGCCAAAGGCTTCTTAAGTCTTCCTTCATTTCCATGGTGGCTCTTGAAGGATGCCCTGGAGTAATTCTCATCAGGCCATGGTGAAGTCACCAATTTTAGGACCTGCATTTGTTTGCTTGTTTGTTTATTTTTAAAGATTTTATTTATTATTTGATAGAACACAAGCAGGGGGAATGGCAGGCTGAGGCAGAGGGAGAAGCAGGTTTCCTGCTGAGCAAGGAGCCCGGTGCGGGGCTTGATCCCAGGACCCAGTGATCATGATGAGCTGAAGGCAGATGTTTAACCAACTGAGCCACCCAGGCACTCACAAGGACCTGTGTTTTAAAGATGGGGAAAGGGTGGTCTTGCTGAACATCTAACCACCTACTCTAGAACACGTAAACTGAGCTCTTGGTGTCCTAGGTTTGAAGCACACAGGGTATCCACCCTTCTCTGAACTGCCCTGTTGTCAAAGTAGATTAGTTAAACTTGCAACTCAGCTAGGAATACCACATTACGTATGTATTTTGGATTGCTTCTTGGCTGGCTCTAAATCAAGGCTAAAGTGGCTGGTTAAGAATAAGTCATTCTTCCAGCAGAACTTCTACAGAGGAATGTATGCTGATGATAACAATGATAACTCTAATAGGTATAATTTCTTGAGTGTTTCCTATCAGCCAGGTACCATGCTAAGTATCCTACGCATTCTATTTAATTCTACTGAAAACCCGGTGGGCCTGGTGTCATCATTAGTTTGACTTTATAGGTGAAGAAAAGTGAGCTACAGAAGGGTACCATAAACTGTTCAGGGTCATAAAATCAGTTAATATGAGATTCTGAGTTATTTCAGGTCAGACTGACTCTAAGGTCTATCAATATAGTATCTGCTTGCCCTTTGCCAGGCACAGTGCCAGACCCTGGACAATTAACGGAAATGAGTCCTGGGACCAGTGCTTCTCCTATGGTGAAAAGACTGTAGAGCTGTGATTGCTAAGAAGTTCTGATAGCCACAAAAGCTGTCAAATTCTCAGGATAAATCCAAACCGAGAGCAGAAGAGCACAGGCTCTCCATCTCGGGAGGAACTAAGAGGTCCAGGGCTGCCTCTGGAATGGTCTTTTCCCCCAAATTCTCCCCACATGTGGTCAAAGAGTGGCTGGGAAATCAATTCAGATTGGGGGCTGCCAAATCAAGAGGGAAGCGATAGATTTAGCATGGAGGAATGCAGGCCACGAACTCTTGCTGGGCTGGAGGGGAAGAGAAAGAAAAGCTAAAGCCCTTGACTCTGTGACTTTACTAACAAAAGGTTTTTTCCCATTTCTGTCTTTAAATCCATGTTGGAGGCAAATCATGTATTTGAATGCCATAGGTTTTGACCCAAGATGTCTAAAACACTGGGACAGAAGTAGTGTGAGGTGAGACTTCAAATTTTGACCTTATTTTTTGACATGAATAGAGCAAACATTGCCAATGGCAAGATGAAATGTTTATAGAACCAGTCTGTTTTTCAATCTTGTCACTCTTGTGGCTCAATTCTTTTGCTTAAAATTTCACTAAAACTAGAATGCTGTAAGTTAGCATGTTGGTAACTCTCCACGCTATGACTGTCTTGTATTTTCATGCAATGTCCTCATCTTCACCCTTGAGGGAAAAATCTGGTTTCCTTAATCATTTTTAAGAAGCCAGGACTGAGGGGCACCTGGGTGGCTCAATGGGTTAAAGCCTCTGCCTACAGCTCAGGTCATGATCCCAGGGTTTTGGGATTGAGCCCCGCATCAGGCTCTCTGCTCAGCAGGGAGACTACTTCCTCCTCTTTCTCTGCCTGCCTCTCTGCCTACTTGTGATCTCTGTCTGTCAAACAAATAAACGAAATCTTTAAAAAAAAAAAAAAAGAAGCCAGGACCAAGTGCTTCTTCTTGATTTGGGAAGGACAAATAACCCAAACAGCTGACATAGTAATTAGTATTTCAGGTCCACAAAGTGCAGGTCACGCACCTGAAGTTCTGCGTGTTCTTTCAGGAGTCGGTCGTATTCTTTTGAAAGTCGTTCTGACTGCATTTTCATTGTCATCACATCATTCTGTGCCTTAGAGAGGGCTAGAAAACAGGGGATAGAATTTTAAAATTTTTATTTTGAAATAATTTTAAATTTACAGAAAAGGTACAAGACTTAAATAGAAAGCTCCTTTGTAGCTCTTGCTCAAATTCACCAACTGTTAAGATGCGGTACATTTGTTACTGTATTTTCTCTCCACACATGCAAAATTATTTTCTTGAATCATTTGAGAATAAGTTACAGACATCATGCCCCTTTAGTCCTTAATACTTGTGTATTTCCTAAGAAAAAAGGTGTTCTCTAACATAACCATATAGCATTGTTAGCAAATGTAGGCAATTTAACACCAATATAATACTTTGTATCTAATCTACCATTCATGTTCCAGTCTTCACTACTGTCTCAATTACGTGCTTTCTATAATTTTTTTTTGAATCTAGATCCAGCCCTAGAGCAAAGATTAGCATTAAGTTGTCATGTTTCTTTGGTTTCCTTCAATCTGGAATAGTTCCTCAGCTTTCCCCCAGCATTCCTCTCCCCTTTTGTAACATGGACATTTTAAAGAATACAGGTCATATTTTTTTCAATGGAATGTCTTTCATTTTGGTTCTGTCTGATGTTTGCTCATGATTAAATTCAGGTTATGCATCCCGCTTACACTCAAATATCACATAAGTGATGCTGATGTTGGTCAAGGTATTACAATAAGTGGCCCATCTGCCTCTCACTGGCTTTTCCATTTTATACTGATTTTCTTCCTCATAACTAAGAAGGAGTATATAGGAAGACAAGACTATGTAAGTATCTTGCTCCTTGTCAAAATTTGACCTTATAGTTAGCATCCACTGATAATTCTTGCCTAAGCCAATCTTTATTGTGATGGTTGTACAATGGTGATTTTCCAGCTTCACCATTCCATCCACATTTATCAGTCAGCATTTTACTATAAACAAGGGGCTTCCTTTCTTTTCCATCCACCCACCCAACTATCTATTAATCCATATATCATCAGTATGAACTCATAGGTTCTTATTTTTTCAACAGCTTATAATTCATGATTTACTTAATTTCTCCCAGATATGGCCAGTGGGAACCCTGTCAAGCTGGATCTTACATCTTCTGACTATGTCCCCATCATTTTATGAGTACTCTATTTTCTGGCATAAGATGTTCCAGGCTCATCCTAAATCTTCTCTGATTCATCCTGGACTCAATCAGTATAGTACAGAATTTATTAGAAGGGTATGCTTTTGAAAAAATTGAGGAAGAAAAAAATATTTTTCATTCTCACCAAAGGAAGAGTGGCTGTATTTCTTTCAAAGCAAAGACAATCCTTTCTTATACAAAGTTGAAAAATATAAGGGTGTGTGACACTTAAAGACTTTACCTCAATATGATACACAAAAATGGCTCTACATTAGCCTCTGTCTACAAGGAGCTACAGTCTTAGCAGATTAGACAGAAGTTTAAAAAATATATCTGTATATCATAAACATTAAAGTCAGCACATTATGGAGAAGATAGCGAGCAAATGTGTAGAAAGGAAGATCAGCACAAGATGGTTTGGAAAAATTCTGCAAATCCTGAACTAACTCTACATATGATTCTGCATATGTAGTCTTTAGAAGTTCTGCATTTATAATCTTTTAGGGTAGAAGTTTTAGTAAAAAAAAGTGGGATTTATAAATTAGAGTCACTTTTTAAGCATAACAGGATGAAATCATAGGTTCTATTTATAAACAATCTGGTTACCTTTCCTCTTGAAAAGACACCATATGGGTATTTTTACGTATATAAGTCACTTTCAACTAAAGTGGCTTTTGTATCAGCACTTTCTAGACAATGTTGTCAATAAGCTTCCTGTATTATAGGACATTTATTGGACACATCTGTGCTGGGTAATATAGCAGCCTCTAGCTGAAAGCAGCTATTTAGCACTTGAAATGTGGTTAGTGTAACTGAAGAACTGAATTTTAAATCACACTTACCATTTATTTATTTATTTATTCATTCATTCATTCATTTATTTATTTATTTATTTATTTATTTATTTGGAGAGTGCATAGGGGGCAGAGAGGGAGAAAGAGAATCTCAAGCAGATTCCATGCCAAGTGCAGAGCCTGTTGCAGGACTCAATGTCAGGCAGGACCCTGAGATCATGATCTGAGCTGAAATCAAGTGTTGGATGCTTAACCAACTGAATCACCCAGGTGCCCCAATTATACTTAATTATAATTAAATTTTTTATTTAAATAGCCAGGTGTTGTATGTAAGGGTTGTATGTAAGTGTTGAATCAATAGATTCGAAACCTGAAATTAATATTGTACTGTATGTTAACTAACTAGAATTTAAATAAAAACTTCCAAAAGAAAAAGAAAAAAGAAAAAAGACTGGGAAATGTAGCTGAATTCCCTAATACCTAAAACAAATACAGAGTTAGGTCAAATGAGAAGACAGAAATGTGTTCCAAACAAAAGAGTGAGACAATACCTCAGAAAAAGAACTAAATGAAAGGGAGTTAAGCAATCAACCTGATAAAGAGTTCAAAGTAATGCTCATAAAGATGCTTATCAAACTCTGAGAACTTCAACAAAGAAAAAATATAAGAAAGTACCAATCAGAGCTGAAGAATACAATAACAGAAATAAAAAAAAATACACTAGAGGGGATAAACAGAAGATCTGATAATATAGAAGAACAGATTAGTGATCTGGGTAATGAAGATCACACAAACTGGGGTGTCTGGGTGGCTCAGTCAGTTTGGCTCAGGTCATGATCTCAGGGTTGTGAGACTGAGCCCTGCATTGGGCTCTGGACTGGGTGTGGAGCCTGTATGAGATTCTCGCTCTCCCTCAGCCCCTAACCACTCTCTAACCCCTGGTCATGCATTTGCTTTGTCTATCTCAAAAAAACAAAAAAAAGTCCCCTAAATAGAACAGAGGAAGAAAGAAGGAAAGAACGAGAAAGAGAAAAAGGGAAAGGAAGGAAGAAAGGAAGGAAGGAGAAAGAGAAAAAAAGAAGAAAAAGAAAACAGAAAAGGAATTTAAAAATGAGGACAGTTTAAGGGGCCACTGGGACAACACTGAATACTAACATTCACATTATATAGGTCCCAGAAGGACAACTGAAAGAGAAAAGGGTATATATATAATAAAAAAAGGGCATCAAACTTATTTAAAGAAATCATAGCTGAAAAATTCACTAAGCTGAGGATCTTCCCAAGTCTAAGAAGCACAGCTCCCAAACAAGATGAACTCAAAAGAGATCTACACCAAGATACATTATAATTAAAATGTCAAAGACTAAAGATAAAGAATCTTAAAAGTAGCAAGAGAAAAGCAATTAATTGCATATAAGGGGATTTCTATAAGGAAATGAGTTGATTTTTCAGCAGAAACTCTGCAGACTAGCACAGAGTGGCAAAATATATTCACAGTGCTGAAATGAAAAAACATAACCAAGCACACTCTAACTGACAATGTTGTCATTCAGAACTGGAGGGGAAATAAGAAGTTTCCCAGCCAAATAGAAGTTAAAGGAGTTCACCACTTTACAAAAAATATTAGAAGGATTTCCTTAAGAAAAAAAGAAAGGAAAATTATAACTAAAACTGAGAAAATATATGAAAGAAAAAAATCTCACTGGTAAAAAGTGAACATATAGTGAAGGTAGTAGATCAACCACTTGTAAAGCTAGTGTGAAGGTTAAAAGACAAAGTGGTGAATAAACTATAACTACAATAATTAGTTAAAGATACACAAAATAAAAGGATGTAAAACATGATGTCAAAAACAAAATATTGGGGGTAGGGAGTGTTCAAACACATGTAGTGTTTGAAGAATTTGTTCAAGCTTAAATGATCATAAGTTTAAAATAAACTGCTATGTTCACAGGTTGTTATATATGAATCTCACAGTAACCACAAATCAAAAACCTATATTAAATGCACAAAAAATAAAGAGAAAGGAATCCAAACATAATACTAAAAAAAGTTATCATGTCACAAGGGAAAAGAGCAGGAAGAAAGAAACAAAGAACTGTAAAACCACTAAATAATTAAAAAAATGGTGGTAAGTACATAATTACTTTAAATATAAATGAACTAGGGACGCCTGGGTGGCTCAGTTGGTTAAGCGGCTGCCTTCGGCTCAGGTCATGATCCCAGCGTCCTGGGATCGAGTCCCGCATTGGGCTCCTTGTTCTGTGGGGAGCCTGCTTCTCCCTCTGCCTCTGCCTGCCACTCTGTCTGCCTGTGCTCGCTCTCTCTCTGACAAATAAATAAATAAAATCTTTAAAAAAAAAAAAAAAAGCTTTAAATATAAATGAACTAAATGCTTCAATCAATACATAGGTGGCTGAATGGATTAAAAAACAAGACTCATTTATATGTTGCCTACAAGAGACTCACTTCACATCTAAACTGAAAGTGACAGAATGGGAAAATGTATTCCATGCAAATGGAAATGAAAAGAAAACTGGGATAGCAATACTTTTATCAGACAAAATAGACTTTATTTTTTATTTTATTATTTTTTTATTTAGAGAAAGAGAGTACAAAAGTGGGGGGAGAGTGAGGTGCATAGAGAGAGGGAGAGAATTTTAAGTAGACTCTGCACTGAGCACAGAGTCTGTTATGGGGCTCCATCTCATGACCGATATCATGACCTGAGCCAAAATCAAGAGTCAGATGCTTAAGTGACTGAGCCACCCAGGTTCTCCTAGACAAAATGATCTTTAAAAGAAAGGCTGTAAAAAGAGACAAAAATGGGTATTAAAGGGATCAACTGAATAAGAAGTTGTATCACTTCTTAATAATTACACACCTAACATAGTAGTACCAAGTAAATATTAACAAATGCAAAGGGAGAAACTTACAACAACATACTGATAGTAGGGGACTTTAACAACCACTTACAGCAATGGATAGATCACCCAGACAGAAAATTAATAAGGAAATATTGGTCTTAAATGATACATTAGACCAGATCAACTTAATATATACAGAGCATTCCATCCAAAACCAGCAGAATACACATTCTT